CAGAAGTGTAACAACACCATAAGCTCTGAAATAAGGTATGAAATGATGCCAAATCATTCAAACAACACAAGCAAAGCATACTGGTGTCCTTAAGGCATAAGGCAAGTAAAGAGGATTACAAAGGGGGCATGCAATACATGGAACAAATGCATGAACCAACCATGGACAGAGCTTAATTAGGTCTAAACAAAGACCAAAACATGCTAAGATGGAGGCTCAAAGACCTAGGAAAGATGGCATACACATTGGTCCATAAGCTAGGCAACAAATGCACAATACTCAAAGGCACTTAAAGAGTGAATGAAGTGGGAACATGGCAATGCTATATGCTCTGAAATGTCATGTTAAGTGATGCTAAATCATGTACACAACACAAATGAAGCATGCTATCGTACCCAAAGCTTGAAGCTAGCATAGGCATTTGTACTACAACTATGCAAAACATGAAGCATATGGCAAAGGCAACCCAAAACAGTCCTAGAACATGTCAAAATGAGTCTAAAACATGCACGGAAGGAAGCCAAAACAAGCTAGCATGAAGGGCATAAAGCATGGATCATGCAAGGCAAATAAAGTGGATTACACTACACCTATTAAGACCAAGAATGAGATGGCTTTGTCAACAAAAATCAGAGTTATATTATGGAAAAATAACCCCAAAAACGCATTGAAATGATAGCTCACAAGCTTAGGCATGAAGGCATACACAATGGCTCATGTTTAAGGCATAAAACACAAACTCTCCAAAGCATGGAAAGGGTGACAAATGCAAGTGTATGACCATGAAACATGCACTGAAATCTCATAACAAATGATGTCAAATCATTCAAAATGGGCAAGCAATGCATGCTAGTGGACTTGATACACAAAGCTAACAAGCTAGAATGCACTATAGCTATACAAAGCATGGCATGCATGACCAAAACAACATAATTCAAAGCTAGAGCATGCTAAAAAATGGACAAAAGCTTCTTAGAGTTAAGCCAAAAACATGCTAAAATGACAGTCTAAAGCATGGTACATATGGGCTACTTTATGGAATTACACTACAAGTGCATGGAGCATGCATGGGGCCATCAAACTCACCCAAAACAGAGTCATGGCATGCTAAAACAACACCAAAAACCTACTGAAATGGAGTCAGCATAAGCTAGAAAGACATGCTACTTTATGAAGCATACAGGACTAGTTTATGAAATTTACACTACAAGTATATTAAGCATGCATGAGGTGATCAAGGCAACCAAAAATAGTGGCATGCCATCCCAAAATAACCCCAAATACATGCTAAGATATGGCCAACATAAGCTTAACAAACATGCTCAAACATGAGGCATATGAAGCAAGTATGTAAAACACAAGGAGAGGGGATGACCCTCTTCTATTTAGGACCTCAAAACCACCTTTCCACCACTGAAAATCCTTTGGATTTCAGTGGTAGAAAGGTCATGCAAAGGCTAGAACAAGAGCCAAAAGGGATGGCTCAAAACAAGGCCTAACAAGGCCTAAGAAGGGGTATACTACCCCCAACACAAAAGTGACCTTAAACAAACATGTTAAAGGCTGGAAAAAAAAACTTTTTGCAATTAAGAGTTAAGCTTAAATCAGCATGCAAATGGGTCTAAAAGCTTAAGCAAAACAAGGGGTTAAAGGGCTAGAAACTCACCCTTGATGAATACCTTCAAGGCTGCAACTCCAGCACACTTTTTGAACCAAAACTAGTCCAAAAACTTCAAAAACAACTTCAAGGGACCTCAGCTCCAAGAGTATGGTGTTTGAGTGTGTGTTTCTGTGTTAAAGTATGAAGAATATGCACTTTTGAACACAAATATGAAGAGGAATGGAGATGTATAGATATAGATGATATATATAGCTTCAACACAAAAATTTGAACCTAAAGCATGAGGGAGGAGGTTCTCCTTTATAGAGAACCAATGCTCAAGCTTGTTGGACAAGCTTGGGGTCCAAGAGGATGGTTCTAGTGCCTTCCAGCTGTGCCAGCTGGATGAAAATATCTCCAAAAAGGTGACAAAAAGCAGCCGACCACTTTAAGTGGTCGACCAGCTACTTGAAGTGGCCGGTCGACCACCACAAGTGGTCTCCCAAAAAGACAACTGGTCGGCCATGGTGAGAGAGAGTCTGAAGCATGAAAGCAAGCTAAAAGTGTAGTGGCCGACCAGAAAATGTGGCCCAAAGGCCGAGAAGACCAGTTGGCAGCCTAGAAAACTGGCTGGCGGGAAGAAAAGTGGTTTTCAAGGGAAAGAACTGGTCTCCCACCCTTGTACCACCTTTCAAACAAGGAAAACAAGGTTTGTACAAAAAACAAACCAAAACGGATGCAAGACGAAAGTTCGGGAGGCAAAGCACGCGGCTGAAAGCCTCGAAAACTAGTCTACCGGCACCAAAAATGGTTTACGACCACAAAAGTGGTCTCCCAGACCACAGTGTCCCTCTAGGCAGAGGCAACAAGGTGTGGTTCAACAACCACGCCAAACAGAGAACATTATGTGGTCCCGAGTCAAGGCACGTAGCCAAAGGCTCCGAAAATCGGAAACTAGTCTCCAAGCATGAAAAGTGGTCTACGACCACGAAAAGTGGTCTCCAAGGTCACTCCCTCCCTCCAAAGAAGGAAAACAAGGCTTGGTCCTCAAACCGAGCCAAAGCACAAAGAGTTAAGAGGTCCGGAGGCAAATCTCTCAACCAAAACTCCGAAAACTCGAAGCAAGCACAACGTGCACTATCACCAAGCGCTCAATCGATGACGTCTGAGTCTTAAGGTCGGTCAAAAATAGGGTGTCTATATAGGTGAATCATAATTTGTGGTTTGATTCATGATTTTATAGTTACAATTCTGTTTTATAATCGATTCAGATCATTTAAATATATATATATATATATATATTGTTAAATACTATAAACACTAAAATATCTTATAAGTTACATAGGTTACATCTTTTACTTTTTTTTGTAAGTGTGTGCTTGTATAGTGGTAGAACTAGTTCTTAATATTCATCCAAATAATTCTTAGATTTGAACATATTTTTGTCATTATATTATGAATTGACATGGGTGGGCCCATAGGGGCTTTTGGCCCACCACTTAAAGCTCAATGCATAACTCAAACACTACAACCCAACCTTACTAGAACCCAATGTTGCACCAAAGACCAATGACACTTAAACACTTGTCAACAGAAGAATCAGCCACGTACGTAGACAAATATCCTGCAGAGTTATTGCACCACACATCAGTCATTAATGAGGTCCCCTGCAGCATTTAATGCGATAACCCCTTCACGCCGAGGCAGAACGGCCTCACAATGAACAAGGCAAGCTAAAACATAGGCTTTCGGCCAACATGACAGGTCAGAGTGGACAAAGAAATGATGAGGAAAGGATATAAGCAGGCTTCTAAGACAAAAAGAAGGTTAAGTTCTCTATCATCGCTCCATCTCTGCACCCCATTAATCTCTCTTCTAACTTGCTCGTCAGAGGGTTCGTTAGGGGACTCACATTCCCCGTTGGACTTCTGTGCAGGTACTTCAGTTAGCTCAGTGATCGGATAACGGTGTTGGGAGCGTTGATCAGCCAGGCCCGTCCCCCAAGGACCAGCAGTATCATCTATTGGCACCGTCTGTGGGAGATCTTTTACTCCGTGTGACAATCGTGCTCATTGTTGCCGGAGACCCACTCTCAATAATTCCTCCTTGCCACCCACCAAGGTGGATGGTCACAACGAGATCCATAGCTTCTCAACACAACGTTGCTGACCCCCAAGCCGACCCTCCTAACCCAAACAACCCACCTCAGTATTTCACAGAACTCAGCAACAACATTAACCGCCTAGCCGAACAAAACCAAGCCTTGATCAACGCTTTGCTTCAACGAGACCTCCTTGTGTCTCCTCCACCACCACAAGATATACCACATAACCGAAAACGAACTCCGAGCATCCCTTCTAACAAGCCCACCCCTCCAACTTGGAGGGTTTACGACCTCCACCCCAAGATATGAATCCACCACCTTGGGATCTACATCCACCAGTCCAAGCACCTGCTCCCGAGGAAGAGGCCAGTAGTGTCCAACCTCCATTGTATTCGGGTGGTGACAACATTCCAGTCTGGGATGTGAAGCTCTGAGCCATGAAACTCCAGCTTCAAGGAGTCATGTAGAACATACAGAATAAACCCTCCACAACAGTAAATTCACCATTTGTCTCCCCCATCAAGGACAAACCCCTACCTCCTAAGTTCAAAATGGCCTCGATCGACTCTTTTGACGGCACAACGGACTCGGTCGATCACTTGGAGACTTCACTACAACAAGTTGGGTCTTGAATGACGAAATTTTTTTGTCTTCAAAGAGCTAATTTCGTCACTATAGATATTTGTGAGGAAATATTTTCGTCACCGGTTTCGTCATTGAATGTTTGTCACTAAAAACCAACGTGACGAAAAATAATTTCGTCACCAATGAAATTACTTTAGCGACGAATTTTTTTGTCACCAATAAAATAACATTTTGTCACCAAAAATTCTCATTTTCGTCACCAAATAGTTATTCAGTACCATGTTTATAACTTTAGTTGACGAATAAATTTGTCACGCATATTGATCATTGATGAGGAAATAATTTCGTCACAATAAGATGTAAAGGTGACGAAATTTTTCGTCTTCAAAAGTCATACATAGATGACGAAATATAGTTCGTCACAAATATATTTATATGTGACGAAATTTTTAGTCACCAAACAACAAAATAAATAAAAACTTTTATATATAAACTGTAGTAAATTTTGTCACAAAAAAAGTTTATTAGTGATGAATAATCACTTTGTCATAATAACAATTATAAATGACAAAACAAATTCGTCACTAAACTTGTTCCATATTTTATATTCAATTTAAATTATTATTCCACAAATATCCCTGCTCATATCCCAATAGCCTTTTAATTGTACTAAGAAATCCACTAGCTATTATACACCATTCCACAAAAAAATTCACTAAACAATTTATATTATAAATCAAAATGTATCCATCAAACAACTTTAATAATAATCCATTAAGTATCACAAAAAAACCATCAAAGCAAATCTCAAAATCAACTACGTGGAGTCCACAAAAAAAAAAAAAAAAATCAACACTCAATCTTATTTTGCAACTACAACTAAGCATCAGTTTAGGAAAAAAAATTCAACAGTTGATCTTCATTTGCAAGTATGCTCCCGAACGTCATCAAAACCAATCTGCAAAGAAAATAAATAAGGCAAACATTAATATATTATCAATTACATTGTATAGACCTTTCTATCCATGTCAATACAAATTGTGTACACAATGAGTCTAACTTAACAACCAGAAGTTCCTTTGTACATGGCAAGCTCCTATCAATCACATCACTAACTTAGAGCAACTCTAACATTGCCTAGCAAAAATACACGAGAGTAAACAAATAATTTTGTCTCTACTTTGAAAAAAGTTCATTTCCATGCTGTAACTATATCCTATGTATTAGTGATAGTCAATTTTCTTGTCTTACTAAATATAACAATAAAAATAATAATAGTAGTCAATATAGTATTTGTCAAAAAGTGTTAATAGTCAAACTAGTTATAGTTAAATTAGACTCTCCATACCATTTAACAACCCACTATAGTCTTAGCAGCACGGACACAAATAAGCAGTGTCCATGTAGAACACTGCTTCAATACCTACACTTGGACACACCTAGAGACTTGAGATACTTCTTGGCTGTGTACATTATTTAAATATGCTTTGCAACTTTGGGGCCTTGGCTAACACTTACACAAACACAAAGCCAACAATTGTAGCCATACGAACAGCCTTATTAAAAGGATAAACATACCCAAAAGCACCCAACCATTTATTCAAATAAATAGATAAAGGAAGAAATGCAAGACACTGGCATCATAGACATGGCTGCCACAACTCAAGTATGCAATGGACATTTTTTAATTATTATCATGTTTATACGCAATTTTCATTATTCTAATGTTGTCGCCATGTCTATGTCTTGTTTTAGTATTTATATCTATGTTGTGTCATGTTCGTGCCAAATGTCTGCGTCTTTGCTATCAAGAATCTGTTTCTGAGCAAGCAGAACTTTATTTTCCTATTATGTGATAGGCTGTTACAGAATGAACAAAAGTCCACTCGTGATTGCTTGAAAACATTTTTCAAACTTGAGTTTTCAGCCAAAAAAGATTCTTCACCCAGAAAATAAAAGATTATAATGGTCTCTAGTAAACATACATCTGCTAAATATATGTAGATCATGTATAGAGAGAAAGATCAGCAATTAATGCAGCTATAAAAGTGACCAAAAGTATTTTGAAATGGAATTGCAATTAAGGCAAATATGACTTTCAAAAATGAACCAGAATTCTAGAGAATATGAAGCCTCAAACTTCTTGGCTCAGATCTTCAGTGTGAGGATCTTCAAGAGTTGCACATGCATCTCCAACATCATATTGTTTAAGAATCTATTCCTAACTCAAATCAAAGAACTGAAACACTGTACCTATAGGAATAAGATAAGGACAATATAGATAAGTTAACAAATAACAGATTAAATTCACACATTCTGAAGTAAAATATCACAATTTAGAAACGCACAACTTTGTTGGAAAGGCATCAAAAGAAGAGTTGACTGGCACAAATTATTTTAAAGAGAAAAAGCAAAAGAAACTCCTTATCAGAGAAAAAACAATAGGATATTAGAATAATTTTTGGGATACTCATGCCCCCATAATTCAGTGTCATAGAACTAATTAATAAAAACTACAAGGTATGGTGCATAATTTTAGCTTAGAGTACAATTCATATTTCTATAAATAAAGTGGAAGACAGGTTTCCAACGACACCATCTATGAAGTTTCATAACCGGCAGAGAATGATAGCTAATGGGTAGGGCTTATTGTTGTTTGTTTGTGTAATGGGAATAGTTTTCCTCTGTTCTATTGTTAGTTTTCTTTAATATTATGTTTGGATGATGGATTTGAGGGGGATTTGCAAAGCCCAACTCAGTTCCAAATCCAAATCAAAATCCAAACATGTATCCTAAGGGATTGGTGGGGGATGGTGTTAGAGATGGTGTGTTTGTGGGTTCAATAGTGTGATTAGGGAGGGGAAGAAAATGCAGGCATATATACATCTTTGAGGAAATGTTTCTCTGAATGTATGCCATGCCATTGTGTTCAAAATGTGAAAGCAAAAAATATGGTTATTGGCAATTATACACTAAATTGGTAGGTTTTTGGGACTCCTTGTTGTCAGCATCACAAACACCAAAGCTCCCTAAGGTAGAAAGGAACACAATTATTTAAAACCAGAATTTTCCCTTCCTGCCCGATCTGCTCCTACCTGGAATTCCTTCATCTTCATTGATACTAGAGAAGAAAAATGTGATAAACATTAGACAGTTACCTAGTCATGAAGAGCTCTACTACGTAATACTCATCACGATTTGTCAATTGTTTAGTAAAATCTTAATATTATCATACATCTATTCTATCAACAATGATTTCAAGGCTTCATCTAAATACTCATTCATATAGGTGACCAAAAGTAAAAATGGTACATAATCGGTGAGACTAGTTTTTTCATATGAAAAGAAGTTTTTCAAAGAAAGATAACGAAAAGAAAAAGAAAAATATTAGCCTCAATATACCTGAATAGGTCCTAAGTTTCTTCAGAAGCTCTGAGGTGGGTGCAACAGGTTTATCGAAATGATATCTGTGTTTCTAAATGATTGTTCTAGCTAAATGATATTTGTGTTTCTAAATGATATTTGACTCAGCTAGTTGTGGTTGTTATAGCTAAATGATATTTGTGTTTCTAAATGATTCTATTTGTGCTTTACATAGGATTGCCAAAGACATGTAACAAAACAAAGGACAGCTTCATCTACAAAGTACAACACATAAAAGCAATTACGAATAATTATCTCTTCACATTATTGTCACTTGTCAAGCTAGTCTTAGGTTTTTGGCAATAAAACAAAATGTAAATGACTCAATGGCATGGACCCCTTTATGACAAAACAAAGGAATTCAATCTATGAACTACCATCTAATTAAGCTACACCATAGTGGAAGATTAGGATCTCCGTCATTGTAGTTGTGCACATGTGAACAACTCATTGCAGGCCTACAGGCCCAAGATGGACCCTTGTTGATTGGGATTCAATTTTGGATTGTAGAACCTAGTTAAATTAATGGCATGATTAGAATCTATGAAGCCTTCGGCAACATTTTCACTTGCAAAAAGTAGCTTCCTACAAACTCAAAGCAGCATTCTCACACTATGCAGCAAAAACAAAGTAGCATCTGATATCCACTTCCACAGATAGATATAAATATGAGGAAGCATTATTGCTAGTAAAACTTTTTAAGTTCTATTTCTTGCTAAATTTCCTAGGAACAAAAACTCAAGCAATAATAACAGATAATAAGGAATGATGCTTATTGATAGTACCTTTGCAACAATAGATTCCGTTGTATGCTTCCTCCATAGATCAGCTTTCCGAGCTTCAAATTCCTCTCTGCTCATGATGGGGGGGTCCAAGATCGTAACAAGCAACATAGATCATACCAAGATCTCAAACAGGTTAGATGGAAAAGATGTTTACAAGATAGTCTCTTCACCTTTGCCATTGGTTCCTGTCATTTGCCCACCCGTCAAACAACTTGGAGATTAACAGAAAATCAAACAGGGAATTGAGAATGAACTAAGCTAACAAGCTCACCCTACAAATAGCACATTCATCATCATATGCTTCAATCTCCTCAGGTGTTGCATCTGGAAGTGCTCCATGAAGGGCGCCTAAAGCTATCTTCAACCTAATAAATCCTTTGATACGTTTTACAATTGCACCTAACAAGGCCTGGTCAATAATATGAAGTGTTAAATAAAATAAACATGAAATAATAATGTTGAAAAGTCCAAGTCAAATGAATGTCAATATATTGCTACAAAAAAATAGCGAGAAACTTTACACATATATTTAGGAAAAGAACTACATCCACAAGATGAAATTTCATGCCATGAAGCCACCAGATATGCACATAATGACAGAGTGCCATCAATAACGTCATGATGTCCAGAAGAAAACCCAAGTTCCATATGAGAATGCCTTTCCATTCATAGAATGAACCCGCACTCAAATTTGTTAAGTTACAATAATGACAAATCCAATCCACAACAACAATTAGAGGTACCCTTGGTCTTTAGCAACAGCATCAACAATAACAATAGAAAACGAATGATTGGCAAGAATCATGGAAAGCCATGGTCTTAGAAAGAATTAATAAACATATAAACATTGCCAAGACAACCCACCAACTAAAAACATGTCAAATTAAAATAATCACAAACATATAAACCTTTAAGAAAACAAGATAGAGATTGGTGCATTTTCTTGACATTGACACTAACTGAGCAGGCTAGGCATAGGTAAAAAGGTCCTGTAGAGCTTTTACTATTGCACCAAGCAACAAACCCCCTTATGTTTATAGGAAGGGAAAAAAAAAAAAGAAAAGAAACGAAAAAAAGGGAAAAGAAATTAAGAAAACTATACAATGCTATGCTTCACAAAACACATCTTCTTTCAAGATCATAAAATACTGGCTTAGAGGAAGAAAGAAAGAAAACAGCAAAATAAATGCAGCACTAAATTTTTTTTTTTTTTTTATGAGATATAAGTTGACAAGAAAAAAATGGTAACATAGTTGGCTTAACATGTTTTACCTGTTTATTCAAATAATTTTATTTTTATAAGGGGAAAAGGGAAAAGAATATAAAGAAAACTACACAGTGCCATGCTTCACAAAACACATCTTCTTTAAAGAACAAGGAATACTGAGTTAGAGGAATGAAGAAAGAAAACAGCAAAATAAATGCCTCACAAAAAAAATTGGGAGCTATAAGAAAATAAGGAAAAAATGAATAACGGGACCAGAAAGCATGAGAACCCCCAACCACTTGGTAACACAACAACAAAATAACATGGCTACATAAAAAAAGTTAGCAAACTACCTGCTGTTGATATATCAAGGAGTTTGGACCTTTGGCAATTTGTGTTGTTCCCTGCCAAATCATGGAACCATATATCGAGCAATTGAAAACCATGAATCACAATAGCCTACAAAAAACAATTTGCAGACCAAAGAACCTTCAGCCTGTGTTTATCATATGTTCCACGGGGAAAATGTTACATGATCTACAGATAGATCTATCCATTATGAAAATGAAAAGACTTCCCATTAAGAGTACCTGTAATGTCTCAAAAGCAATACTAAGAGGCTCGAAAAATAACAATAGAAACATATACGATTCTAATGTTCTGTATATCACTAGACACAGCTTTATCCTGTAAGCAGAAAAAAAAACAAGAATACGTAAATGAGAAATTTATGAATAACCAAAAATTGGAAAAGGGAGGTGAAACTAGCATGGACATTAACTCTTGTGATTCGCAAGAGGGGAGAGTTTAAAAATTGTCATTCCTAATGTTTAAGATCAATTGTTAGAAGTTTAAAAATCGTCATTCCTACTACTACCGTCATTAGTTGAGTAGTAGGCAATTTATTGTCATTAAAATCTCAAGAGTTTGATAGCAATACTACATACATATGGCCCAGTGAGAGACGATTCATTCATCATTCTTATTCTTAGTGAGAGGAAACAGAGAAGAAGGCCATATATATGTACACACACAAGTTCAATCCATGTAATAATTAGAAATTGAAAATCAAAAAAAGAAAATGATACTGTAACACCTTGAAACTCACTAAAACAACAAATTAACAGCATACGAAATACAATATTGATCAAACTATGCGAGAAAACAATTTTTCATCTCTAACACGCATTAGATTAGATATACATATATACACACACACAAGTTCAATCTATGTAAAGAATTCTTCAATTCCAACACGCATTAATATATATATATATATATATATACGCACAAAAAAAGTTCAATCTATGAAATAATAAGAAATTGAGAGTTCAAATTGGAGCTATTACAGGTCAATTACGGAGATCGATTACGATCAAAAATTGAAAGTTCGAATTGGAGCTCTTACAGGTTGATTACGGGGATCGATTGCGGAGAGAGAAAGAGAGAGAGAGAGAGAGAGAGAGAGAGAGAGAGAGAGAGGGAGAGGGGCACCAAAATTTGAAGAAGATTGAGCTCCCAATATGCCTTGGAGCTCCCAACTTTAGCGCTGAAGATTGAGCAAACCCGTTGAAGAGAGAATGAACAAGTTAGGGCTGAATTGAGGTCCTGACTTTTTAATCGTTAAAATGATAAAAATATTTGTTCTCAAAACGTATTTAATTGATAATGATGACAATATTTGGTCCTTAAAGATGATAATAATATATTAGCAACCAAATTTATTGGTCTAAAAAAATTATGTAAATATTAAGTGAGAATATAAATAGTTATTTTTACAATCTTATAAGTAATTATCATATGTTTAAATTTTTCCTTAAAAGATTATTTTTAGTGACCAAATTTAGTTAGTCTCTAAATATTAGTCTCTAAAAGACTAATTTCTTGTAGTGACACCCCCTTCCCTTTACAATATCTCATTTGAATTCTTAAAAACTTTTATGCTCTATTACAAACAGAATAGTCATTTTATAAGAGGTTAATATACAATAAGTTTTTCAACAACATTGGGTTTATGGTTTGATGGGTTGATGGGTTGTCTCTCGGAAATATCTTCAAACACTTGACATACAGAATTCTTGTCTGTTTCCTGTCACAAACAAAAGGGGAAATCCTAACAAAATAAAAAGATTAGACAAATGTTTCAATCAAATAAAAAGTGAAATGATTGAATCTACATACCATATGGAGAATTACTAACAAACAAATCATATACCACAGTAAATAAATAAACATTTAAGGTGCAAAACTACAAAGAAGAAGACGTGAACTTCATAGATATAATAGATTGCATTACATAATGAAAAAAGTGGAAAAACAAAAACAAAAACATAAAATTGATTTGGACAAGGCTAGAGAACACTTGTATATTTCAAACCCATTTCAAAACTTGATTCCCATTTAGACTATCGAAACTCATATAAAAAAAAGACAAATCTTAGAGTTTCTGGATTCACATCCATAAGCATGGTGTCTGTTAGATTTTTCTTTTAGTTTAATCAAATGCCCTAATTTAAGAAGAGAAGGGTTTAAGAAAAAAAAGAAACAAACTCTAGGTTTAGAACCTTACCAAAATTGCAGGTCTTTCCCAAGCCAATGAGTTTCGAAGGGTTGTAAGGGAAATGAAAAGCACCATCTATGGCGAAGAGGGTGGGTCTCTATTGGGGAAGAGGATCCGAATTCAAGGAAGAGGAGGAGATGCAAAGGTCGTGCCCATGAGGTATTTATCATTCTCTCAGAGAGAGAGAGAGAGAGAGAGAGAGGGCAAGAGTCACAAAAGAGAAAAGAAGAAAAGAAAATTAATTTTTTTAGAAATTTAATTGAATTTTCTGAATTTAATTTTTTTGCAATATATATTCATCACACTTATTTAGAAGTTGTGATTAAAAAATTATATATAATCACATTTAGAAGGTAAGACTAAAAAATATATATATAATTACACTTAATTCAAAAGTGACATAAAAAATAAATATTATCACACTCAATCAAATTAATTGTGATTAAAATATCAATCTAATTTTTTTATCACACTTCTAATAAAAGTGAGATATTTTTATTTGTCAAAGTGTGATCTTTAACTGTTTTTGTAGTAGTGTCTATTTTGAGAGAGAGAGAGAGAGAGAGAGAGAGAGAGAGAGAGAGAGATGATAAACAGAAAGGGGGTAAAAAAAATTAATACCCTTTTTTTTGGTCATTGTCACTCAATACATCAAAATTTTCTCACCAAAATTGGTGACAACATTATTTTCTCACCAAAACATCTCAAAAATATTAAAAATTATTAGTGACGAAAATATATTTCTCACAAATAATTTTACAATTAGTGAAAAAATTTATAATTAGTGAAAAAAAAAAAATTTCTCACCAAAAGTTTCAAAATTTTGGTGTCATCAAAAAAAATTAGTGGGAAAAATTAGGTGACGAAACATAATTTTTTTTCTCACCTAAGAGTTAGTGTTTATTGACGGAAATAAATTTCGTCACCTATTATTTTTATTTTTTTATTATATGTGACAAAATTTATAATTCCTCATGGATTATTCTTATTTAGTAACGAAATTTGTTTTCTTCACTAATTTTCGTCATCATATCAAAACAGAGAATAAGAGGAAGAGACACCAGAAAAAGAGCAAAGAGAAAATCATGTGCCAAATCACCGAGCGAAGAACATGTGGCGGTTACCGACAAGGCTACTGGTGGCGGTGGCGATCGGCGATCAGCAAGGCTAATAGAGGCGACGACAATAGCGATCGGCGTGGTGGAGGAGCAAGAGGTAAGACAAATTAATATCCTATTTTGAGAGTGTGTGTGTGTGTGAGAGAAAGAGAGAGAGAGAGAGAGAGAGAGAGAGAGAGAGATGATAAACAAAAAAGGGATAAAAAAATTTAATACCCTATCTTTTTTTATTGCCGCTCAATATATCAAAAACTTCCCACCAAAATTGGTGACAATATTATTTCCTCACCAAAAGATATCAAAAATATTAAAACGTTTTGGTGACGAAAATATATTCCTCACAAATAATTTTATAATTAGTGACAAATTTTTTTCTCACTAAAAGTCCCAAAATTTTGGCGCCACCTAAAAAAATTAGTGGGAAAATTTTTGGTGACGAAACGTAATTTTTCCTCACTTAAAATGAAGTATTTATTGACGAAAATAAATTTCGTCACCTATCATTTTTATTTTTTTATGATATGTGACAAAATTTATAAATTCCTCACGAATTATTTTTATTTAGTGAAGAAATTTATTTTCTTCACTAGTTTTCGTCACCATAGGTTACTTTTGTTGTAGTGCTTACAGGACCCTAATGATCCTACTTGCTTTTCCTGATGAGCTCATGTGTCGGGCTTTCCCCGTGACGCTCAAGGGGTCAGCTCGACTCTGGTTCAGTCAGCTGCCGACGGACTCCGTCTCTACTTTCTAACACCTAAGTGAGTCCTTTCTTAGCCATTTCATTGGTGCCCAGCGCCAACGGCTCCCGGCGACTCAGCTCCTCAACATCCGTCAGACGGAAGGGGAATTGCTATGTAGCTTTGTCACTCGTTTCAACACCGAGGCCTTGCAGGTGGCGAAAAACGACGACAAGGTCATTCTCACGGCCTTCATGGCTGGTTTACGATCATCCGACTTCTTTTTTTCCCTCTCCAAAAACCCTTCAACCTCCATAACAACCCTCCTCTCTAAAGCCCAAAAATATATGAACACCGAAGATTCTCTGGCCATTGACAAGATTCCACAACCAAAAACCCAACCCTCGGAGAGAAGAAAAAGGAATCTGAAACCAGAACCACCCAATACACACAGCAAACACCTCAGTATACCGACCGACTTGTACCTGCCCGAGCTGACCGATTGGCAACTGCCCGACCGCCCAGTCAGTTCGAACGGTACACTCCTCTCAATTCTCCCATGGAACAAGTCTTGAACCAGATCCAACGAGATTACAACCTTTCCAACTGGCGAGACTAATCCAAATACTGTCATTTCCATCAGAACCACGGCCACAATAACGAGGAGTGTGTTAACTTTAAAGACCAGATAGAGAGCTTGATACACCAGGGGTGCCTTAGTCAATTCATGGCAGCCCATCCCCAGCAACGGCCAAGGACCGAACCTACCGGAGACAACCGCCAACCCACCCCTCCCTGACAACCCGCACAACCTAACCAAGGCAATAATCGACCCCCACCACAACCCTGAGCACAAGGCAACCCTGCCCCCCTCAGTTGGAGAGATCAGAGTCATTGTCGGCGGGCTTGTATGCGAAGGACCATCCCGTTCGGCCCAACGAGCAGAACTCAGAAAAATCAGGCAAGGCTTCGACAAAGAAGTTACGACA